GCGGGGTCGTCTCCAACGGCAGAAGTGACTTCCCATGGTCCGAACCATTTCGGAAGGAGTCTGCGCGAAACATCCTGCTCGAGCGCAAATTCCTYGGAGAGGACCCAAACAAGGTCTCCCTCGCGGAAAGGACATGGAAGTCGACGTCGGTTAGCTTGTTGCTGCATGCGGACCTGAGCCTTTTGCATATTCGCGCGGGCTTTGATCAGCAAGTCCCGATACTTCCTGACAGAAGCGGGAGAGCAAGGGATTTCTATGTCGGAAGCCTGTAACAAAAGGATATCAGCGAAGATCCGTGCTTTCTCTCCACCATGATGTAGCTCGAATGGTGTGACGCAGATCGCCGGGTGCACCGAAGTGTTGTAGGCGAACTCGATGTCGGGAAGCCGGTCAACCCAATCTTTCTGGTCGGGACGGATGAGTGTACGCAACATCATCTGAGCGGTCTGGTGCGCTCGCTCCGTCTGACCATCCGTCTGCGGGTGCCGAGCCGAGCTTGGCTTCATTGTCGTGCTGGACTCCGTCATGAGAGAAGTCCAAAAGGCTGACATGAAGCGAGTGTCTCGGTCGCTCACTATGTCTTCCGGAACACCTTGGTTGGTAATCCAACCGGTGTGCAAGAGTCGTTCGAGCTCAGGCGCTGCAGCATGATACTTGCAAGGAAAAAAACGAGCATACTTACTCAAACGGTCAACGACCGACCGTGAGAATACCGTCATGGCCGTGGCGATCGCGGGGAAACGGGCCTGTCACGTCCATAGCAATGGAGAGGCATGGTGTCCGAGGAATCGGCAACGGTTTCAGTTCGCCGAAGGGGACTCGAGATCGACCCTTGTCACGGTGGCAATCTGCACATGACTCAATGTACCTCGTGACGTCATGAAGGACGTCGGGCCAGTGAAAACGCTGGCGGAGGCGTGCTAGTGTGCGGTTCACGGCAAGGTGTGCCGAAAGTCGTGCGTCGTGGAATTCGCCGAGAAGACGAGTCCGTAAGATGTGATCTTGGGGCACAACTAACAAATCCTTTCCTCTCGTGTGAAGGAGAAGGAACCCGTCGAAAATCCGATAATGGCTAGCCGGCGGGTGATCCGATGAAAGCTCTGTGTAAAGCGTAGAGTAAGTCGGATCGGACTTGTAGCCTTTGACGAAATGCTGCTGCAGATYGTCATCGAGGTCGAATGCCGTGGTCACAATGGCACAAAAGTCGGGCCGTCGTGAGAGGGCGTCCGCAGCTCGATTGGAGGGACCGGGAAAGTGACACGGGTCAAAATCGAACTGGTCGATGTAATACATCCATCGACCGATCGTACTAGTGACCGTGTCCTGCGTTTTGTAAAATGTCAACGGATTGTTATCCGTATTCCATTTAAAACGCCGACGGCCGAGAAGAAAGTGGCGCCACCGTTTGAGRACGGTRACGAACGCGAGTAGYTCTTTCTTCCTAGCRTCATCAAGAGTGTTGACGAGAGGCACCTTCTGGGAGAAGTACTCAAYCAGATGCCAACCGTCCTCGTGACACTGTTCCAACACCGCACCAATACCGTATCCCGAAGCGTCCGTAGTCACTTGGGTGGGTAGGGTGGGGTCATATATACGGAGGGCAGGTGCGGCTTGCATYGCTGCCTTCAACGTAGTGAACGCGCYGCGGGCTGCGTCGTCGAACTCGAAGGGCACCTTCGGGGACTGAAGTCTCGACAAAGGAGCGGCCACTTTCGAGTATGACTCGACGAATCGCTGATAATATCCAGCCAAACCCATGAAAGAGCGTACATCCGTAGTGCAACGGGGTTCTGGCCAATCCACGATGGCTTGGATCTTGTCCGCTAAGGGACGAATGCCTTTCGGCGTGACAAAATGGCCCAAGTACTCAAGCTCTTGCCTGGCGAATTCGCACTTGTCGAGATTCGCTTTGTACTTGGCTAGTCGCAAACGAYTCAAAACAACGYGAAGGTGTACGATGTGCTCGTCCAACGTCCTACTATAAACCAAGATATCATCAAGGTAGATGAGGACGCTGCGATCGAGCAAGTCGCGAAACTCAGTCGTCATCGATGCTTGAANTTTTTGTCTTCTTCTGCTCGGCCTCCAGTACCCGACACCCCTACCACTACTTGAGTGGTACCGGCCTACCTGCTACTTGAGTGTTTTTCCCCGCTGTTCTAAGTGTCGCGGGCATACCCCCGCTACTTGAGTGTTTTTCCCCCTGCAACCCTCAAAGTCACGGCCACAGGTAAGTACCGGGCCTGTGGGGCCCTTCAACCAACAAGTACCCTTGCGGGTCACACACACACTCAGCCGACAAGCACTCAGACAGGCATGCAAACCAGCAGGCACGCACACACACAGACATGGAAATCACAGCAGAATGCGGGAATTTCAGCAAGGCATTCATTCCAGCGACAAATCCCAGAAATCAGCAGTGTTCTCAGTCTGTGTTTTTGGCGGGTCATTACATAAGTAGTTTTTGTGTGCCCAACGGAGCACCCTCGAGCAGTGCTAAACAGTCGGTCGTTCCTCGGTTGGAGTGCCTACTGCACTTTTATGGGGGCGCCTGTGTTGCCTATGGGTGATGACGGATGCTCGTCGGAGTGACTCCCTGGCTCAGTGGGTGGCGGGAACCAACAGTCTGCGGGGTTCAATCATGATGTGAGTAGGTCATGTGCTGCTTTGCTCGGTGTTGGATGTGTGGACGTCCTCGCCTGCGCTCTGCCGCTGCCCTGCTGCCTGTCCCGCTTGCTTCGCATGTGGTTCTTTGTAGGTTGATGTGTTTGCTGTGTGGTGTGGCCGTGTTGTTGGTGTTGCCTTGCGCTTCGCTGCTTCGATGCTGTGCTGCTCATCTGCTGGTCGTGCCTTCTGTGTTTGCTGCTTGTGTGCCCTGTAGGTTGGTTGCCTTGTTGCTGGTGCCTTGTGCTCTGCTCCACGGTTGCCGAGCTGCTGGTCTGCTCGCTCTGTTGTTCCCTGCAGTGCTGTTGCCTTGCTCTTGTTGTCTTGTGCTTCACGACACGGCTGCCACGCTGCATGCCCTGTCTGCCATGTCGTTCCTTGCAGTCGTTTTTGGCGTTGTGCAGCCATGTTGCCTCTACTGTGTTGCTTGGTGCTCCACAGGGTTGCTGCCTGCTGCTATGTCCCACTTGGGGACAGTCTGCCTTCAACATGGGTCAAAGGGTTCATGACCCAAACCATCTAATATGGGGATTCCACAGATTGTCGAGGGTTCAGCCTCCTGATGAGTTGGTGCAACTCCGACGAAACAATCTTTCATCATTTTTTTTTTTTTTCAGTCGTTGTCTGTTTTATACTTGGATTTTTTTGGTGCTGTTAAAGCCTGTTTTTGCATTGTCGTTGTTTGGCTTGCTGCTGTTTTCCTTGCAACCTTATGCTGTTTGCTTGCCCATTCGTCTACCCCATGCCTTTAACCCAGTGTGCTTTGTTGTTTTGTGATGTTTGTCTTGTGTCTTTTGTTTAACCACCCGCCTCCCCCGTGCCCTCCAGCCTTTAGGCTTTGCTGCTTTGTGTTGTTTGCCTTTGGCATGCTGTCTGTTTGGAGCAACATAGGCCCTGTGTCTTTTCTCTGCCCACCTGCCTCCCCTGTGCCCTCCATCCTGTGTCCTTTGTTGAGGCTTGTCGTTCTATGTCTTACTGGTTGTCTTCTGTCCCCTCGACCTTTAAGGTTTGGGATTCCATGTTTTTCTGTTTTTCTGTTTTTCTGTTTTTCTGTTTTTCTATTTTTCTGTTTTTCTGTTTTTCTGTTTTTCTGTTTTTCTGTTTTTCTGTTTTTCGTGTGCATAGTGGACTTGCAGTGCAACATCAAGGGTTGTCTATTGACTTGACTCACTCAGGTGCATGTTTCCCCCTGAAGTATTGTGTCGATACGGGGCACAGTATCTGTGCCGGAGATATTGTACACGCATCAACACACACACACACACATGTGCAGCAGTGTATATTTCCATGTTCTAGTGGTCCATTCATTCGATGTTGCTCATCCTATCGATGGAAGTAGCATGAGGTCAGCCGCGAGGTTGGAGACTTACATGCTCTCTCTCTCTCTCTCTCTCTCTCTCTCTCTCTCTCTCTCTCACACACACACACACACACACACACACACA